GGGAGCGTTGCATATATATGCAGGCGCGGCGAAATTACAAGGCACACCCTCCCTGCGCGGCCTGAGCCTGGTGAGGCAGTTCTCGTGTTCGGCGTTATGTTTCCTCTTCTCTTGCTCTTCCTGACTGCGCGCCTTTCTTTCTGCTGCGTCCCAGGCTTCGTCTTCGCTTTGCCTTTCGGCGGCATCGCCCCCTTCCCACTTGGGTGCACACGAGAGCAAGCTAGGTGGTGCTTTATATATATATATATACACGCAAGAAGGGGTGGCGGTGCGGCGCGGCGATGCCTTCCAACCGGAGCGCCCGCCCGTCCACGCATCGGCCCGTGTGCATGCTCCTCCCACGCAGCTCATCATCTCATCTTTTTTTTTTGCGCATATACATATATATATATATATATATATATATATAGGCACGCGCAAGGACCTATTCGCTTGCTGCAAAGAGATCAGCGCTGAGCGCACAGAACAGACGACAAGCACGCCCCCCCCCCCGCCCCCCAGGCGCTTTGGCGCAAGCCTGCCGCCCATATGATGGATATACCATGGTATATCCAACCGCGTGGCATTGCCATGCGGCATGGTCGGCAGGGCCATGCCGCGTGGCCACGCCATGCGAGAAAAAACATGAGAAATCATCACACTTGAAAAAACCATGAAACCATGGTAAAACCATGTGGAACCATGGAAAAACCATGAAACCAGGAAACCAGGAAACCATGGAAAAACCATGGAAAAACCATGAAACCATGAAACCATGGAAAAACAATGGAAAAACCATGAAATGAGGAAACCATGAATCCATTGTGAAACCATGGAAAAACCATGAAACCAGGAAACCAGGAAACCATGGAACCATGAAACCATGAAACCATAGAAAAACCATGAAACCATGAAACCAGGAAACCATGAAACCATAGTGAAACCATGGAAAAACCATGAAACCAGGAAACCATGAAACCAGGAAACCATGGAACAACCATGAAACCAGGAAACCAGGAAACCATGAAACCATGGTGAAACCATGGAAAAACCATGAAACCATGAAACCAGGAAACCATGCAACCATGGTGAAACCATGGTGCAACCATGAAAAAACCATGAAACCATGAAACCAGGAAACCAGGAAACCGTGAAACCAGGAAACCATGGAAAAACCATGAAACCAGGAAACCAGGAAACCATTGTGAAACCATGGAAAAGCCATGAAACCAGGAAACCAGGAAACCATGAAACAACCATGAAACCATGAAACCAGGAAACCAGGAAACCATGGAAAAACCATGAAGAAACCATGAAACCATGAAACCAGGAAACCGTGAAAAACCATGGTGAAACCATGGAAAACCATGGAGAAACCGTGCGAAAACCATGAACCAGGAAACCATGAAACCATGACACATGCCCTTGCGACATCGTCGTGATCGCATCATTGAAGGGCATGATCGACCCCCACGATGCCACCACGACGATGCCGCGAGGGCAATGTGTCGACAGGTGCTATGATGGAGCTCGGCCACATGGTGGCCTGAAGCTGCCATATAGCACGATACCCGGGGAAAAAAAAAGCGTTCGCTTCCAGAGCTGTAGCGGCCGTGTCACCTGTGTCATGTGTCGCTGCGTCGGCCGCGGCGATGGCACCAGCACGTGCGTCTGCACCTGCGGGCGCAGGGGCGCGGGGGGTGGGCGGGCGGCGAGCGGGGGGGGGGTCAAGAGGCCACTACATATTTTGACCCCGATGGTGCCCATATCATCGGTCCTTGGGACCCCGATGGTGCCCATATCATCGGTCCTTGGGCCCGCGGCTCCCTAGAGGAACCGGGCTCGAGGACCCATCCATGGGCATCGTCGGAGATTTCTCTGATTGTAAATCTCTTCGGCGAGGAGATTGACAATCGCCCTCGTATACTCCGATTGTGAACTTCCTCATGCTTATATATATATAGGCACGAGGAAGTTCACAATCGATCGGAGCATTGGAGGACGCGAGGACACGGGAAGAGGAGGAGGAGAAGGAGGAGGAGGAGGAGGAGGATCTGGAGGACTCAGGCCTGAAGACTGAAGAACTCTTCAGGGTCCTGATCCTCCTTCTCCTCGTCCTCCTTCTCCCCCTCCACCCCCCCTGATCCCCCTGATTCCCATCTTCTCCTCCAGGGAAGAGGGGATAGGAGGAGGAGTGGGAATGTAGTCGTATCATTCCTCCTCCTCTCCCCGTGCCCTTCCATAATCATGATCTTCATCTGTCCGCTTCCTCCCTCCTCATCATCCTACCTTCTCCGCCTGATCACCCTCATCCTGTCTCCTGGTCATCAGGACCATGTCGTCCTCAGTGTCCCCGACGTCTTCTTCCTTCTCATCTTCATTATCCCCTCCCCCTCCTCGATCATGTTCCTCCTCGTTGTCCTATAGTTCCTTCATCCTAGCTGCAAGGTTTGGCCGATGGCACTCCTGGCCCCATCCGCTTGCTGCAAAGTATAACTATACTATTAGCTTGCTGCAGGGATCGGCAATGCATGCCCTCAAATACATTCGCATGCTGCATGGCAAACCTACCAACTTCCTATTCGCCTGCTGCAAGCCGTTCTATTCGCCCGATGCAAAGATCTATCGGCAATGCATGCCCCCCAACTCCATATATTCGCATGCTGCAATCTTAGACCGATGGCAAGCCCAACAACTCCCGATTCGCCTGCTGCAAGCTCGATGCTGATCGAGCGCTCGGGGCGGGGCCGTCGGCTGGCCTCGAGCCTTCCTGCTCGAGTCAAGAGCCGCAGATCTAGGGCGACGAGGACGAGGGAAGGGAACGATGATACAGGGAGGAGGCCGACGATCTCGAGGAGCAAGGAGTAGCAGGACGAAGATGGGGACGACGAAAGAAACGGAGGATGAGGAGGAGGAGGATGAGGAGGAGGAGGATGAGAAGGAGGAAGAGAATGATACGGATGGTGGCACGTGGCATCGAGGATATCCGATTTTGATTTCATGTCCAGCGCTGAGGCCCAGCTCAGGCCTACTATAGCGCAGCACAGTCAGCAAAGGCCCACAGGAAACTCACAAAAAAAAACGAACTTTCGCTTGGTACCATCCTCGCCTCGATCCCTGTCATCCCATATGGTATTCCTATTCATGACTCCGCATCCTCGTGCTTGTTGTCGTCCTCCTTGTCGGTCCTGTCCCCTCCTGCGTCTCTCTCTCTCTCTCTCTCTCTCTCTCTCTCTCTCTCTCTCTCTCTCTCTCTCTCTCTCCTCTCTCTCTCTCTCTCTCTCTCTCTCTCTCTCTCTCTCTCTCTCTCTCTCTCTCTCTCTCTCTCTCTCTCTCTCTCTCTCTCTCTCTCTCTCCCTCTCTCTCTCTCTCTCCCTCCCTGATCAGCGCCATCATCGTCCCACTCCTCTCCTGGGGTCTCCAGCTTGGATCTCGAGCTTAAGCTTCAACCCCCGACTCCACCAGGAAGATTTGAACTGGTAGGCCCTCGGTGCCCGCCCCTCGGTCCAACCAGAACGTGTTTGAATAACTGGTTCACCCTGGATCCTGGAAGCGTGAAAACTGGAAGTTCACCTTCGCTTCCTGGTTGGACCGAGGGGCGAACCTTCGTGGTGCTCCACCAGGAAGGTTCGCCCCTCGGTCCAACCAGGAAGCGTGAAAACTGTAACCTGGAGGCGGAAAAAAACAAAGGGGGGGCGAACCGATCTTCCCACGCGTGCCCTTTCTTCCTGACGCAAGAAGCAACGCTGGTGTCGGCGTCGACCCGCGGCCGTACTCGATGGCCAGCTCACCTCCCTGACCCGAGACGCGCTCTCGAGGTGCGAGGGCAGGGGGCGGAGGAGAGGGCAGAGAGAGGAGGATACGGGGGGGGAGAAAGGGGCAGAAGGAGAATGAGGAGGAGGAGGAGGGGGAGGAGGAAGAGGAGGAGGGGGAGGAGGGAGGAGGAGGAGGAGGAGCATGAGGAGGAGCATGAGGAGGGGGATCTGAATGACATGCGCCTCCTCCCCAGGAGGAGGATGGGGGAGGAGGAGAAGGAGGAGGGGGAGGAGGAGGAGCAAGATGTGTACTATTCACAGTGCCGCTGCTCCTCGTACTCCGCCTCCTCATTCTTCTCCTGGCCAGGAGGAGGATGAGGAAGAGGAACCCTGAACTTCGATACTTCTCGTGCTCCTCGCACGCCCTTCCCAGCTCCCCGCTGCCCCTCCTTCTGAGTATCACGTTGCTCGGCGGCACGGTGATCAGGCCCTGCATGCCGCGCCTCTCATTCCCGCGGCGCTGGGCTTTGGAGAGGGGGAAGGGCGAGGATAGGAGATAAGAGATCGGAGTCAGGGCGCGAGGCGCGAGGGCTAGAGTAAAGCTGGGGACATGACATAGGGCACGAGGTAGAGCACGGCACCTCGTTGGCTGCTGCATCTCTTATCTCATTACCATCCTCCTCATCCTCATCCCATGGACTTCGGCGCATATATACGCTCCGTCGCCTCCTCCTGCTCCTCCTTCTCGTGTTCCCCCTAATCCTCCCCAAGCTTTCCTCCGTGCATGCTCGTGCGCCTGCCCCTCCACACCAGCGTATGTAATGATGTTGCTGGGCTGCGCCTTCACCTCAAGCATCACGACCTGGCTAGCGGACATATCCTATTCCTCCTTTCCCGTATCTGCCTCCTCCTTATCTCTCCCCCTCCTCCTCAACATCCTCCTCATTCTCCTCCTGATCCTCCTCCTCCTTCTGGGTCTTTTCTCTGATCGCGCTCTCGTTGTCATCTATTCCCCTCCCCCTGGGCTCATCCGCCTCCCACTCAGGTAACTTCTGGGTTCCCTCACCTTTCGAGGAAGAGGTTGAGGATATCTATTCCTTCTCCTCCTCTCCTCCTCCTCCTCCTCCTCCTTCTCCTCTTCTCCTCTTTCTCCTCCTCCTCCTCGCCCTCACTCCTCTTCCTCCTCCTCCTCCTCCTCTTTTTCCTTCTCCCCCTCATCCTAGCCTGCTCAAGCTGCCCCCTGATCAGCCCTGGATCTACCTGGGCCAATCTGCAGCTCCTGCAGCAACGCGTCCCTGAAGTTCTCGCCGGCCTTGCGCGACGTGCCCTTCTCATCCGCGGTCTTCCGCGCGAGCAGGTTCATGATCGTCATCGACATCGTGCGCGTGTCGCCACTCTCGATGCCGTACTTCTGCAGGCAGTCATCCGTCCACATGTTGTCGCGCAGCTGCGTGATCTGGTTCTTGATGTTGTCGCCGCCAAGCTTCTGCACCACGAGGCCGCTGCAGCCCTCAGTGTGGCGGTGGCGCTGCGACGCGCGCCAGGCCTCGCCGCGGAGCTCGAAGTTCGCCATCAATTTGCCAGGCTTGCACCCGCCTGGCCAGGAGTTGGCCTCGCCTGCTGCGGCTTCCTCGCCTGCGGCTTCCTCGCCTGATGCGGCTTCCTCGCCTGCTGCGACTTCGTCGCCTGCTGCGGCTTCCTCGCCTGCGCCTGCGGCTTCCTCGCCTGCGCCTGCGGCTTCCTCGCCTGCGGCTTCCTCGCCTGCGGCTTCCTCGCCTGCGGCTTCCTCGCCTGCGGCTTCCTCGCCTGCGGCTTCCTCGCCTGCGGCTTCCTCGTCTGCGGCTTCCTCGCCTGCGGCTTCCTCTTTTCCTCGGGCTCCATGGCATCGTCCTCGTCGCTACTGGTGCTGCTGCTGTCCGAGGCGAAGCTGTTGTCGTCTACGGGCGGGGCCGTGGCTGCCTTCTTCTTCGCCTCGGGTGTGGCGTCACTTGTCCTCCTCTTTTTGTTCTCCAGCCAGCTCGGGGTCGGCGTCGCCGACGGCTCTGGCAGCACTTCCGCTGCCATGGCAGCCTTGGCGCGCTTGGCCCCCCTGGCCTCCTTCTATTTCTGTTTATTATGTTTCTTTTTCCTTTCCTTCTTCATCTGTTTGTCCAGCTTTCCGCACTTCTCTTCGGCGCGCCCGCCAAGCAAACTCTTGTAGAAAGGGAACTTGTCGATGGCAACAGCGCTGCTCGACGACGCGCTCGAGCTCGAAGGCAGCTTTGTCGCCTGCGGCATCGCTGGAGTCGGAGTTGACTGCTTGGGAGGCGGTGCAGTCGCCTTCTTGGCAGTCGCTGGAGTGGCCTGCTGGGGAGTGGCCTGCTTCGCCTGCTTGGGAGTGGCCTGCGTGTGAGGCGCTGCAGTCGCCTTCGCAGTCGCTGGAGTGGCCTGCTGGGGAGTGGCCTGCTTCGCCTGCTTGGGAGTGGCCTGCTTCGGAGTCGCCTGCTTCGGAGTTGGCGCGGGCTGCTTCGGAGTCGGAGTCCCTGCTTCGGAGTTGGCGTGGGCTGCTTCGGAGTCGCCTGCTGGGGAGTGGCCTGCTTCGGAGTCGCCTGCTTCGCCTGCTTGGGAGTGGCCTGCTTCGGAGTCGCCTGCTTCGGAGTTGGGACCGCCTGCTTCGGAGTCGGCGGCATGGCTGCGTACTCGTTAATCTCCTCATTCTCGTCCTCTGATAGAATTGCGTGTAGCTCCGCAGCCAGCTCGTCCTCAATCGGCTCATCCGCCTCCGCCTCCACCTCTAGCTCTTCTGCTGCCTCCACCTGCTCTTCTACTCCCTCGACCTGCTCTTCTGCCGCCTCAGCCTCGCCCTGATCTTCGCCTGCCTCCACCTCATCCTGCGCAGGCTCTTCATCCTTTGGGGGGCTCTTTTGAATTCGGCGCACGGGCAACTCGATGTAGCCTCCCGTCATTTTATATAATTGTGTTGGGGCCCCAGTCTTCCAGATCGAGATCGCTGTGCTCTCCGTCATCCTCAGCGGGGCCCTCTTGATCCTCTTCCTCGGGGCGGGGGTGGGGGCGGGGGGGTCGTCGACGGCGACGTGGGAGACTACACCAGTCGTGGACCCTGCTGACGTCGTGAGAGTATCGATACAAGGTTTTACCAGCGTTGCAGTTTGGAGCCCTCGACGGGCCACGGGATGCCAACATGCGGCAAAGAGCGCGTTCAAATCGGGCCCCAGGGTGAAAGCCTCCAGGACCGACGCGCCACGACGTCATGCCAAACAAGTTGCCGCGTCCAACGGTCCGCTGGCGCCGCCGACGCAGGGCTGCACAGAGAGGGGCTATACTGATCTGGCAAGGCGAAAGTTTTGCAGGAGTCGTCAGAGTCTTGTAAGTCCTGCCCCAAACCCAAGAAGGCAGCACGGAGGATGATGCGTGAAGGGAGGGGGGGGGGGGAGAGGGGAAGGCGGGTAGGGGAGGGGAGGGGGGAAGGAGAGGGGAAGGAGAGGGGATGGGATGGGATGAAGAAGGAGATGGGGAAGGGAAGCGGAGGAACGATGATGAGTGAGAGGGTGGTTAAGGGGGATTGGAAGGGTGGGAGGATCGGAAGGAGGGAGGATGAATGAAGGAAGTGACGAGGCAGACGATCGACGCTCCCATGTCCTCGATCAACGAAGCAGCGAAGTATTCCTGCAGCTCGGCCTCTGAAACGTCGCTGTCCGAGTATATGATCGTCTCTGCGTCAGTCGCCATCCCTCGCCCCAAGCTTGTCGTTGTCGTCATCGTCATCGCCATTGCCCTCATCGTCGTCACCTTTGCGATCACCTTCCTCATTGGGGTCATGCCATCGGCGTCGCCACCACCACCACGGCCACGCTCACTATGCCAATACCGACGCGGATTATGACGAAGACGACGACGACGACGACGACGACAGGACGACGACGACCACGCGAGACGACGACGATTACCGTGAGCATTGCACGACTGCGGACTTCGGACGATGGAGGTCGAACGTGACGGCGACGCTGACCGACGAGGGCGACGGTGGCCACAGTCATCGTCGCTGCCCCCACTGCTGGCCCCTCGCGCCTCGTCGGAGCTCATGCGGAGGAAGTGGCTCATCATGATGCGGAGCGTGCGCGCTTGCAGGAACCTAGCGCAGCACAGTGATGCAAGCATTCAAGATAAGTAAGAGAGGCAGCAAGTTCAAGTTGCAAGACTGACGCTGAGACAGACCACATGCCTGGGAACGCAACCAAACCTGACTCTGACCGTCACCGTCAACACGGTTGCCTTCGCCAACGCCGAAATCTATACCATCGGTCGCCGTCACCTTCGTCGCCACCATCACCCATTTTCACGTTATCGTCTTCGTCATGCGCAATTCCTCGCGTCCTGATTTCTGTCAAGTGCGCATCCCTCCAGCATCTCCCTGAACATTCTGCCGACCAGCTCCAGCATCCCTTCAGCATCCCCCCGACGTTCTGTTTAAGTGCGCATCCCCCCAGCATCCCTCCATCATCTCCCTGAGCATCCCTGAAGAGAGTTAGGTGGGCAGGCGGAACGCGATGCCCTGCGCCCTTCTCGTCAATGGCTTTCGGCCGTTCTTCTCTTTCCAGCCCTCCATGTAGTTGTTGAAGAATGTTTTGCGCCAGCCCTCCTCGGGAGTGAGGGGCTCGGATTGCTCTCCCTCCCTCACTCTCTCTCTGTCCCCCCCTCCCTCAACCTCTCTGTTTAGATCCGTTCTCCATCTCTGATCCTCGCCGTATTGTTGTCGTCGTCGTCGTCGCCTATCGTCCTCGTCACCCTCGGTATCGTCGGCGTCATCCTCACGCGTGTCGTCATCCTCATCGCGGTCGTCTTTGCTCTTGTCGTCATCGTCCTACTGCCGCCGTCGTCGTCACCCCTTTCGTCGTCGTCGTCGTCGCTATCCGTTGTCCTTGCCATCGGCACTGGTACGATCACTACCGCCACCCCCGCCGTCGTAACCTCCGTCGCCACCATCGCCATATGATCATCGTCTGAATCATCATCGCCCTCGTCGTTATAACCTATGGGGTCATCATCATCACTGGCCGCTGCCGCCATTGCGGGCGCCACCATCGCCACCCCTTGCGCCGCAATCCTCCATGACCTTCTGGGAGATCCTCTCTTCTTCCCAGTGAGCGACGCCAGCTTGTGCGTCAGAGGGCCCTCAGCCTCGAGGCGCGGAGATGCGACAAGGGATGCCAGGCGGGGCCGAGAGAAGGACACGACGGGGGAGGTTGGATGCATAACGCAGGGCGCATTAGATGACGAGGAAGTTGGCACCATGAACGTAACATGGACAGGAGAAGTCGGGAAGATGAGGATGGGGGGTGCAGGAGAAAACCAGTAAGGACCAATGCCGTCGTCACCGTTGCCATCGCGATCAGCGTCGCCACGTTCTCGTCGTCGTCATCGTTGTACGCGTCATCGTCAGCATTGGCGTTGTCTGCAGAATTGCTCGATTTACCTTCCTAGCTCTCTTCCCCCACCTTCGGTATGCGCCATCCCCCCGCCATAATTTGCCTATCCCTCATCATCGTCATCCCCGTCATTACTACTCTTCCACTCCTTCCCTGGCCGTCCGATGCCTTGAAAAAATGATCGGTTTCCAAGGGGCACCGAAGTGAGCACATCCAGAGCTCGGATTCCCAGGGGCGGCAAAGTTAGCAAATCAAGCCATCGGGTTCCCCTGTCCTCGCCCCAAAATCTCACGAGCCTTGAGCTCATCTTTGTTCGCGCGCGACTCGAACTTCTCCGGCGAGCACTCGTGCATCGGGATCTTCCAGCGGCCATCTTCGAATCCTGGCGGCGCCGACGGGCGTGCAAATCAGGCGCTGTCGTCATCGCCGCCGTCGCCATCATCACCGCGGTCTCCATCACCGTCGCCATCGCAGTTGAAAATAAGCCTCACTAGAGAGGCTCCGACGCCATCGCCGTTGAAATAAGCCATCGCCACCGACATCACCAATGCCGCCGTTGCCACCTCGCAATCTTCCCCGTCGGCGTCGTCGAACCTCGACCGCCTCTCCTCCTCCACTTCTTCTGGAACCCTCGATCGTCTTCCCTCCCGCATCGTCTTCCTCTAGGCCTCATTCCATATACTCTCCTTCTCATCTCCTCCTTGGCGCCTCCCCTCTCACATCCCCCCATTCCCCAGTAGAGCGACGCAAGTCCTTGCATCATCGCGTGCTCTGGCCCGAAGTCCATGAGCACCTCCAGCGGGGCCCAGGGGGGCTTGGGCGGGCGACGTCGACGATGCGATCGACGACGGCGATCGACGACGACGCTGGACACGATCGGCGACGGCGATCGACGTCGACGACTGTCGACGATAAGATCGACGACGGCGATCCACGACGACGCTCGACACGATCGACGACGGCGATCGACGTCGACGACGTCGGCGACGATGCGATCGACAGAGGCAATGCGATCGACCACGACGACGACGATCACGGCGATCGGCTACCGACGACCCGACGACGACGACGATCGGTGACAGCAATAACGACTACAACTATATATTACAATTGCTGGCGACGACGTTGACGACGACGATGGCAATCATCTGGGACGACGTGAGAAAGCAGAGGCACAGGAGGAAGGGAAGCGCCTGCGACAGCAAATCTGTCGGTCCCTTCCACGTGGGCGGGAACGCGAATTTCTTTGGCGGCGCCATCGCTGGCCTCGGGGGGGAGCGAGGGACCTCCGTTCCTTCCTCCTTCCTCCTCTTTCCTCCTCCACCTCCTCCTCTTCCTGCCTTATGTGTTCCTCATATTTTCACTTTTCCTTCCTCCTCCTGCTCCTGTCTTTCCTCCCCCTCCTCCTCGAGCCTGTTTCTTCTCTGCCCCAGGGTCAGGAGAGGCCTAAGGAGAAGACGCAAGGAGGAGAGGCAGAAGGAGGGGGGCGAAGAGGAAGAGGAGGCACGACGAAGGAAGGGGGGACGAAGACTAAGGAGGGGGACGAAGAGGAGAGGCAAGGAGGACGAGGAGGATGAACAAGATAAGGAGAGGCAGGGGTTGAACTTGACACCGGGTGGGGTGAGGGGCGGGGGCTCCGATGGGAAGCACTACCTGCGCTACAATCCCCCCTCCCACCTCTCCTCATCATCCCCGAGCGCGCCTGGGCGCGCGCCAAGCACGTCGCGGCCGCCGCTGGGCGGCCAACGCGCGGAAGCGCGCACAGAGCCTCAAAAAGGCTCCGCGGGGTCTCTCTCGTCCTCCTCATACCTCCTTTCTACGTTTCCCTCTCCTCCTCTCCAGTTCCCTAATTTATCTCCACGCCGATTTGTTAGATCATCCTCGTTTCCTCTTCGTCCTCCTCCGCCTGCCTCTCCTGCTTGTCCTCGCTCTGGATCCCAGCGCGCTCGCGCCTGACGTGCTGGTGACACATACCAAACCATATAAATGCATAGCTTCGGCGCGCAACATCGGTTCGAGTGCAAATGTTATAACTCGAAAACCCACTGGCAAAACCCGATGTAAATTTTCACTCTTGGATCTGAACGCAGCCATAACAAAGCAGAGTGCGCGCGTTGAAGGGCAATACAGGTTGTAATGCCTAGGTGGCGATGTCAACTCGAAAACGCACTGGTGAAAACCCAAATGCACATGTTAATTCTTGGATCTGAAGAGGCGATCACCAAACCAGAATCATATCAAAGAACAGCGCGCGCGCCGACATCGGCGCGCGCGCTGAAGTGCAATGTAAGTTTAGCTACAAAGGTGGCGATGTTAAATCGAAAACCAAAATGGTGAAAAACCAATGCACAAGGTCATTCTTGGATCTGAAGAGGCGATCATGTCATTAATGTGGCAAAGACAAAACCATGTCAAATAACAGCGCTCTTACGTTTGTTTTCAATGCAACGGTGGCGATGTTAATTTGAAAACCAGATCGGCAAAACCCAACGTACATTTTCATTCTTGGATCTGCGGAGGCGATCTTGTCAATGTGAAATCAATGTAGACGTTGCAGCTCTACCAAGGAACAATGCGCG